AAAGAGCTGAGCAGTTCATCTGAAGTTCCGTCATGCATGAGATAATACCACTTACTGAACATTTAAAATGTGCCAGGCACCGGACCCAGTATTTCCACAGATTGGCTTTAATTCTCTCAACTTCACCACAGGATCAGTCCTATTATTATCCTTACTTTACAGAGAAGAAAAATGACACTTGGCTGCGTTCAGTATACTTCCGAGGCCACAGGTCTGCTCTGACGTGTTTTCTCAGCCATCATGCCATGTCACTGAACAGCCAGCTAAGTGGTGTGACAAAAGCTTTGTGAGTGTGGATCGCAACCCCTAACATAGTCAGAGGGAGTGACCCCAAGTGACCCACCAGTCCTAAGCAGTGGGCAGGTTGGTGCTGTAGGAAGAGGGGCCACCACGGCAGTGCCATCATTTGATGAAGTCACTGGTCACCACCTCCCTACCTTCCACCTTGTGACCTGTCAGTAAGGGGGCCAGTGTGAGAGGAGGGTTTCTCCCTGGGCCAATGGGAACGAAGAAGAATCTCTGCAGTTGGGGTCAGGGCTGGAGAGGCCGAGCTGGCTTCTCCACGCAGAGGGCAGAAGGTTTGTTGGGGTGATGCCCTGGGTGGGCATCCATCCTAGTGACCCCACAGAGCCAGCGCCATTTTACAGGGTATAATCTGGGGGCACTGAGATGCTCTCTGAGCTGTGGGCCCCCAACCTGCCCTATGTCTGTCTGTCCTAGAGCTGTCACTGAACGACACCCCCGCTTTGAGATCATTCATTTAAGCTCAGTCATTAATGGCTCCAGTTAGAGGAAGAGTCCATTCTGGACCCTTTCCTTGTTAAACCAGGAGAGAGGTGGAAGAAAGTTCAGTGGTGCTAAGGAGCTACCCAAAAAACAGATGAAGAATGATGCTTGTTAAAGAGAGGGTGTCAATGAAAGCCCTCAACAAAGTGTGATGACGCAGTGCCTATGATAATGGGTTCAAGTACATAGAGGATGATGAGGATGGCACATGGCGGCATAGGGTACAGCTCTGCTGTCCAGAGGGTCGCTGTGGGTCCTGGATGACACAATAGTACCTAACAACAACAACAACAACATGAAAATACCGTACATCCTTTCTTACCTGTGCTCCTTTCTGACAGTGACCTTCCGCTGCATTTCTGATGCTGTGATTTGTTCATCAGAAGCTTAGGTGGATTTGAACCTCCAAAGATTTTCGGTCTTTGGGTTAGAGGCACAACTCCCTACAGAGTGCATCACCAGAACCCCAAAAGCATCTTAATTTGGATGATAAGTCATCTGATCACTCTAGAAATAACAAGCCTACTTGCCTCTCTGGGATTCAAGTCTTCCTCATTTTTGAGATTTGAATAATTGCTGATGGATCTCCTGTCAGCTTCACAAGACTGTCTTGGGGACCCACTGAGGAAGGTTTGTGAACCTACAGTGCAGACCAATGAATGGTAGCTGTTATTGAAGTCCACTTCTGTGGCTTCCAACCCTAATGAGCAGGCAGGGTGACTGTTGTCAAAAGCTGGTTATTTATATTGCTGAGATTTCTCCATGTGTATCCAGGCAGGTTCCCTGTGGACACTGAGCTCATGCAGTGCAGAAAGCAGAGGTGTGTCCCTGTCCACTCAGGTCCTCCTCAGTCTGGTCCCTTGTGTCCCTGCAGGACCTGGATGAGGTGCTCAAGGGTGAGCTCAGTGGAAACTTTGAGAAGGCAGCCTTGGCCCTCCTGGACCGTCCCAGCGAGTATGCGGCCCGGCAGCTGCGGAAGGCCATGAAGGGCCTGGGCACAGACGAGGCAGTGCTTATTGAGATCCTGTGCACCAGATCCAATAAGGTTAGTTCTACCCTCATCCCCTGGGGCATGTCCGTACACCCATCAGACAGCGTGGCAGCAGGCAGAAGGTTCCCCTCTTGAAATCTACTCCTGGGATGAGCAAGTGCGTGGGGGAAAGCAGATCTGCTTGACGCAGGAGAGACGCTGAGGCCTCTCCCGAGGGCCCTGGATTCTCCCCACAAGATCATGGCACAGTCCCACCTTCAGGAGTTTTAGGTTGGAGTCCAGCTCAGCTGAGGATTAGCACAGGCCTCTCGTCTGATGGGTCAGTGCAGCCCAGCAGACACCCAACTTTCCCTACTCAGTGCTCAGTTTCCACATGGCTGCAAATGGAAAAGCTGGAGGGTCAAGTCCACCCAGAAGTGCCTAGGAAGAAAGGTCAGGCAATCTATTTCCAAAGAACCAGCTACTGAAACCCTTTAGGGCGCAGTGCTACTCTACACACACAGGTGGAGGTGACTTGGTGGTAACTGGTCACTCCAAGGTCAGTGGCGATGTTGCTCCTCCTCGTTCAGTCAAGAGGATCCTTCCAGAACAGCTGGTCCAGCCACTGTTAGTCTTTCTAAACTGAGACACGATTTTATATGAAGGAGGTAGGATTCTTCTCTACCCCTCCCAGTCTGACTGTGCACATCTTCTGCTGAATATTCCATGTGGTAGTCCAAGCATTTGGGTAGCTGCCTCCCCAGGCCTGGAAAATATAAAAACAGCCTATAATAGGGAGGGGTGTGCAGAGACCTCAGGCGAACACGCAGCAGTGGAAGCCCTCTCTGGGGCTCCCACATCCGTCCATCCGCAGACCTCTCCTCTGGGCCCTCTGCTTCAGGCGCAGGAAAGAACATTTGTGAAGGCCCTGAGAAGCTCATTTATCTTAGGTTCCGGAAGCCACGAGGGCCAAGGGATTTGTCAGGAGTAAAAGGGTCCACCGATCACTAACATGAGCCCCCCTATTTTCTTCACAACCATCCATCAGAGCAGAATGGGAGGCCCAGTCAGGAAAATGCCAGAAAACCATGGTATTCTTGTAGCCATCAGAAAGAAACACAAGTGGTGGTTGGAGCAGGCAGTGAGCGGAGCCGGTTAAATAAAATGGGTCCATGCTGGCCTCCCCGGGTGGTTCATTTGACTCTGCTTGACCTGTGCTGTTCGGCCACGTTTCCTAAGGTGTCATGTGATCCAGCTATGTGATCCGCCAGGCCCTCCCTGAACATTCTGGGCTCCTTCTCTTCCCACAGACTCATGAAACAGCCTCCACCTCAAGGCGTGTCAGGTGGAGCCTGGCTCGTCAGAGGGTTCCCACAGACATAACGATGGGTCAGTTCAAGCCAGCAGACGTTTCCTTTTCCCTACTCTATGTTCAACCTTTCCGCATGCATGAGGCCCCAGCACGGAGATGTTTTTACAGGCAGAGCTCAGAGATCTTACATGGCAGGGAAGGTGCTTGACTGCTAACTGCTAAACGAAAGGAGAAGTGGTGTGTCTACCCAGAAGTGCCTTGGAAGAAAGTCCTGGCAATCAACGTCCTAAAACATTAGCCCTGGAAACCCTGTGGAGCACAGTTCTACTCTGGCACATGTGAGGTGGAGTTGACTCCATGGCAACCAGTGGTTCTTGGCAAAAGGGTTCATTTCACCTGTTATATTTTCCCTTCTTCCCTAGTTTTCGTTGTTGGGTTGGGTTATGGGTTTTTTCCAGGTCCTGCCTCAGCCAGCAACTGTGGCCTTTTTTCCTCCCTAACCAAGTTGATCTGATAGTAAATAGAGCTTTACCATCAGATCAATTTGGGTTGGGTTGACAAGTCCTGGTGGTCAGCTGGGAGGAGGATAAAGGGGAAAGAACTGGACAAACACTGGTGGTCAGTCCCAGATGAACTTCCCCACTTCTGCCACTCGCCGAAGCAAAGCAGCCTGGCACCTCTTGCTCTTAGGTTCTCCACCACCTTCACCCCCTCGCTGCCCATTTTGACCGGCTAGCCAGCTCTGCGGTAGGGGACCCTTGCTCAATGCACAGCTGGCTCAAGAGTAAACTGAAGCAGCTCCTAGCATGGCCACCTTGGTGCACATCTTGGAGATAGAAAGCAATTCTTCTCAGTGGTGGCTCAGCTTCCTACTGGAGACACAAGTTCAAGTCTCAGTCAATCCAGGGTCAATTCCTAGCCACCGCATCTTTTTTTTTTTTTAAATTTTGTGTGCGTGTACCATCAAATCAGATCTGACTGGTACAGGAGGATATTGCGCCTCCTTCTCCGGCAGAGCGTCTGGTGGATTCGAACCGTGTTCCTCTGGGATTGCATTGCAGCTTCTTGCCACTAGGCCACCAGAGCTCCCCTAGCCACCGCATCTTGTGCAGGACAGCCACCCATCTGTTCTCGCAGGTGTATGTGTTGCTATGATGCCCAGTGGGTTTCAGCAGAGCTTCCAGATGAAGATAAAAAAGGAAAGGAAAGGAAAGGAAAGGGAAGGGAAGGGAAGGGAAGGGAAGGGAAGG